TGACGACTGTACAGGGTGTTATACATAATATGTGTTATTTTGCAAAAAAGGATATAAAACGTATTCCAACTGGTTCATCATCTTTTGTTATATCAAAAACAATTTTTGCCAATTTATGATCTAGAAATGCACACCAAATGTAAACAAACAGCACATTCTGCATTTTTGGTTCTTAAAAATCGATATTTGTAAAAGTATCCGCATCCACCTATTATTCATAGTCAGAATCAAAAATACCTAGTCATGAAAATATATCTCCAAACATTGTTATATTTTCTTCTCATTTCTATTATTATAACACGTCTGGGGTATCAGTTGCTTTTAAAGCGATCTGCACATCTGCAGTGTTGCTGAACCGGCAAAAAAAAACGGAATCGGTAAATCGTGTCGTTGAATTCGGTATAAGGTAAATGCCGTCTCAAGATCAGTGATAGATCAAGGAAGTTTGAGTCATGAAAAACGTCTGTTATTGAATTGGGTGCACACACAACAAGTCCATGCATAGACAATCTGAAATTAACAATATGAATTTATATTCTTAATTCTATGCATATCCGTTCATATTCGTCAATATTTCATTTGAAGCTTTTATTTGTCATAAGATTTTAGCAAAATGTAGGATAGTAAAAGCGACACCGCACCATGCAGCCCAGTTGACAAGAACGACAGGCTGTCAAGATTAGGGATGTTTAGATCCAGGAAAAGTATCGACATGTATCGATTCTTATCGTTTTAGGAAGTATCGATACTCTAAAATTTTGCAATAAAATTATCGATATCTAGCGGAAGGAAATAAAGAAGAAAAGTAATCTGAAGTTAGTCACTATTTCTGACACAGTCCGGATCGAAAGATTACGATACTCGTGAAATGTATCGATACACCCAAGTGTTGTATATAAAGATATCGATACAAAATATCGGGTATGGGAAGCAAACGTATCGATACTTCTAAATATAGGAGTGTATCGAGCATCCTTACTGTCAAAATGTATAACCCGAGATACCGACGGAGCTATTTTGCGGCATCATGGAAATAATTTTAAAGTTTCATTTGCATTTTTTCAAGTGTTGTGCAACGATTTTGGAAAACATTCCACGGATAGTCTTATCAATCATAGTAGAGTATATTTCAGCAGTTGGCGGAGCTTACTCCACTGGGACCAAGGGTTGACGGATCCCACACATGTGTCATCGGTTGGGGAGTTTTGAAATGTAATAATCAGCTGTTTTCAAATAATGTCTAAGTTGAGTCATTTATTTTAACAGTGAGTAGATCTGATCAAAAGAAATGTTTTTTCCTTTACCATTTTTCTGGTAAAATTAAAGTAACAAAGTTATAGCCCTTTGGAAGTTTGAGTACCGCCCTGTCTCAATAATAATATCATGTTTTCGTGTTTGGCGACAACGGATATAATCCGCCTTATCGGTTCATCGCATCGGAAACAAAAAAGCGAAAGAATTTGGAACGATGTTTTTACAATTGTTTTATTCAGTTCAGTTATACATACAGTCAGTGTCGTCAGTCGGTAACGCGTGTGAATAGTGTCTGTTGCGTGGCTCAAACGAAATAAAAAATTGCACATGTTTATGCGGATCGGTTTCCCAATCGAGTGCAACCAACCCCTCGTGCCTTTGTTAATGTAGTACAACGGGCTCGTGAATCAGGTGACTTAAGACCTCACAGGGGACCTCACGATCAAATACAGGTCCGCACTGAAATACTTGTCGGGAGGATACTTTATAAAACAAGGTAAACATTTTTTTCTAATTTTTTTTTATTTTTACACACATATTTTGGTTTATCTTCCTTCTACAATCATTATCTGAAAATTAATGACTCAACTTCAAAGTCACCCTGTATAACCTAGAATGTGCACTCAGTGAAACAAAAAAGATATTGCAAATTTTATTTTTTTGCATGTTTTAAGTTTGCCGGTAGCTTTACGACATATATTTGAGTATTTCTTGATCGCTGTAAATACAGTGTGTTCCTGAACAACCAAAAAATATTTGATTTCATGGATTTATGGTTATCAAAAATCCTGAATGGTTTTGAGGGAATATCAATCGACGGTACTATAAGCATTTCACAGCTATTGGTTGATAAAATTTGTTGATTTGACCTTGAAGCTCATTCGCTGTATTTGACGGACTGTTACCCTTTAGGTGGAGAATAACGGACTGTTGATTTGACAATCCTGGTGAAATACACCCTAAATGTACGAAAAATGATTGTTTCTTTACCACCAAACAATAAACATACCTACGTAGTTTTTTAACTTTTTTTTGTCACTCAGAATACAAATAACCAGTTATGGCTAGTGTCCAATGTGCAAGGTTTCGAACTACGAAGAATCACTTTTAGAAATCTCAATAATGACTTTTCCAATTTTGATGTCATTTGTTCATGCTTGTTGAAATTTTTCGAACTTCAGTGTACGCAGAGACAACTCCAGATATCCAAGTAAAATCAATACTTTATAAAAATGCTTTATTGCTATTTCAGATTCTTACAGAAGAAAAGATTCTAGAGAGAAAACAGATACTGTATCTTGAAGAGGAACATCTATTGGATCCGAAGTTGTAAATACTTTTCTTCTCAAAATCAAACATTCAAATTTGGTCAGAGCTTTAATAACTTCCTATATCTTCTTATTTGTTGAATATATGCAAGTTCTGCTCCAGTGGCACATCAAAATATACTAAGCGACATATAAATCCGAACACCCAGTTTAAATGGTTTTATTTTAATAAAATTTTGTATAAGTACTTAATGAAGCATAATAAGTAAATGATAAAAATTTCAAAATGATTGCACTGCTTTAAAGCCCTTTGACCTTTAATAATGTGTCGATGCACCCTGATGTGCTACGCATTCTCCAACGCGCCTAGGCATGCTTCTGATAAGGTGGTCAATGTCCTCCTGTGGTATCTCATTCCAGGCAACCACCAACTCCTCTCGAACTGCTTCTAGAGTCTGAGGAGGACGTTGCAAATTGAGCAATCTCCTACCCATCATATCCCACACGTGCTCAATTGGGGATAAGTCGGGAGATCTTGGTGGCCATGGTAACAATGTGACATCATTATGTTGAAAGAAGTCTATTGTGACTCTTGCAACATGTGGTCGGGCATTATCTTGTTGGAAAGTTGGATCTGCCAGGGTGTCAAGATAGGGTAAAAGATGGGGTTCTAGAACTTCGTGGATATAACGCTGCGCGTTCATGTTACCTCTGATGAAGATTAAAGGTGACCTGGAACCATAAGCTATAGCACCCCAAACCATAACTCCAACAGTGTGATGAACATGTCTTTCAACAAAAAACTGTGGATTCCTCCTTTCACCACGTCGCCTTCTAACCCTGGCACGACCATCGTGCATGCCTAAGCAAAATCGAGACTCGTCACTAAAGACAATACTGTTCCATTCCTGATCCCAGAGTGACCGTTGTCTGCACCACTCAAGGCGATTACGTCGGTGTTCTCGAGTTAAAGGGAGGACCCAGTGTGGCCGGTATGAAAACAAGCCAAAACTTCTCATTCGTCGGTAAACACTTCGCATGCCAATAGGTCTTCCGTGTTCTGCAAACCATTCATTTGTATTGGACCTGGTAGTGGAGAAACGGTCCCTTAAGGCCAATAATCTTAGGCGGCGATCTTCACGGCCTGTTGTTCTACGGCGGCGTCCAGTGCCCCTTGCTCTTTGCGTACGGCCTTCTCGAAATCATGCCAGACAACACCTAACCACAGCGTCTACACTTCTTTGCACTCTAACTGCAATTGCCCGAAAAGAAAGTCCAGCTTCCCGAAGTCCCACTATACGGCCCCTATCAAACTCACTAAGTTGACGAAATCGTACAGGTCTCCGTACTCTAGGCATCGTAACCGATCGTAAAGGATGTCAAGAACCAAAATCCGCCAACGTTGATTCTATATTGCGGCTGAAATATTCATTTTTAGAGCGTTAGTGAATTAAAAAAAACAGTATAAAAACCGGAATGTCCAACTGATAAGGCTGAACATTTTTTCACTTGTTATTTACAGTAAGATAAATACATTCACCAACTTTTATTAAAATAAAATCATTTAAACTGGGTGTTCGGATTTATATGTCACTTAGTACATATATAGCGTTGCGTAAAAAGATTCTTACTTTGAATGAACGTTCTCTGAAGTACACAAGTGAACGTTTGCTAGTCCAAGAGAAATTAACCCTACTACATTAAAGTACTTATCCTAGAGAAAATAACACATACGAATCTGCATACGCGCTGAGGACCAGAAAGAAAAATATGTCGGAATCACGAGTCTAGCTTGAATCTTTTGAAGTTTGATGTTGGTCGGGTGTACAATTCCCAACGAAGCTGTATAGCAATAAAGGCATAGGAGTGCGAAAGGAGAAAAGACGTAGCCAAACACTTTTGGTTGCATCGCTGATCCATATCCATGATGTGCTGACTGCCAAATAAGGTTCAATGCTGCAAAGGGTGGAGATGCCAGTTGTCAATAACCAAAATTTCAGTGTCGATGAAGATATGTTTGGGGATTAAACAATGCAATTCCATCATTACTGCAATAAGATATTATTAGAAATTCATTAGGCATATTCTACTGGAAAGCATATAAAGGACCTGGACAAGTATAGTATTGGGACAAAGACTAGAGATAGGACGTTCAACCACGTAAGGGCATGTTGTGGCTCTCAGAAATCTAGTCTGTGCATTGGAAATTGTCAACATAACTTATGTGGACTTCTCTCACGTGTTGTCATACTTCGTGAGTTCATGACTCAGTGATTCATTAATATTATCCAAAATTTCTGCTTGCAACCCATCCGAACTGTCAAAATTGAAGTTGTTTACCGTCATGATGACAGTTACAGAGAGAGATGCCACATATGCGTCGTACATCATCGAACATAAATACGAATATAAATTATGAGAAATTTCCTTAGACGAGTACCTGAGATCGACCTATTCGCGGCTAACATAAGAGAAGGTATGTCAAGTATGTGTCAGCGTAAGGCTACATAGCCATGCATGCTCCAATCTTGTATAGAAAGGAATTAGATTAGAAGGGTCAGACAGAAAACATAGCAGCAGTGCCACGCTGGCACACACACAACCTTGGTACCTAGTATCCAAAGAGGTCACAAGGAAACCTGTGTACATTTTCACCTAGTTCTTTAGCTTTAAATATCCACTGACTGGGACAGTAACATAAAAAATGCATTTAAACCGCAAGAGGTCGATGAACTAGCAGCAGACTACGTCCTCAGAAGTATTGCTCACAAACGGTCACAAATTCCAAGGTACGGTTTATACCTGGGATCTAGCAATAGGTCTCCGGTACGTTGCAATTACTAATCCACAAAGTAGTGACACTGGTCGCGTTAGCTACTGGAGGATGGCTTGAGTCGATGTCGAATAAAAATACATTTAATAACCTGAAATCCATTTTTGCACTCCAATCTCTAGTCTTCATGAGCCTTGGTCGCGCGTTGCCGTTTTGTGTCTTCGCGCCCTGTCACTTTTGCGGCGCGGAACGGCTCCTTAAATTGACAAATGGCAGTAAAAAAAATTCAATGAAATATTTCTACGCAAAAACTAAGCGTAGTCTCACGAAATATGCTACAAGCTGTAACTGTGGTTTGTAATGGTACACATTTCAATTTGGTCTTAAATATTCAGTTACAGGTTCCCGTATCTAGTATCAATTTTTCACGAGGGGATACGCCGCAAGTAAATAGCCACGCGTCACTGAGAGCGTTGCCTTTTCCGCTCAAAGAAACTGTTTTTGGGATGCCCATGCATATACACAGTCAGGTGTCGTAATGTTGAGTGTTTCATTACACATGACGCACCAGGGACGACAGCCGACACGAAATATTTCCGAGCCGTGCGTGGGTTTACTGCCCTTTGTATGAGCCCTCGAGGGACCTGGAAACGGCTGGCGATAAAAAGGGATGCAGAAATTCGGGCGCTTGGCTTCTTGTCTGCGTTCGCGCTACAAAGAACATGCTGGTGTCATCGTGCAGTGCGGCACTTACCTTTTTCCTATTAAACATAATCGATGACGCAGCTGTGGATGATACGATAGACTCTTGTTGTATACGAGCCCCTTCCCACTTCTGTTGGCCCACTTCAAGATTTGTACCAAAATATGCCTTTATAAACTAAACAAGACGAAACTATTCACTTCTAAAACAAGTTATTTTCTCAAAAACATTTTAGATTCACTCTAGTCGAAAAAAATACATATTTGAAATCACTTAGACCTATAACTAATAGAACATCTGAACAAATAAACTATGTGCGAATAAATGCGCGAAGTTAACAAGGCAACAATTGAAAGATTACCATCGGATAACATCACCTTTATTTTTTATTACGGCTGTAATTCTTTGGGGCATAGTGTTAACCAAGTTTTGGCAAAAATTTGGTGTAAAAAAATCCCATATTTACCTTGAAGCTTTTGTCTCAGTTCGGTGATTGTACGAGCAGGATGTTGTAGTAGAACCTTTTTCGTCTCGTGCCACAAAGTTTCAATAGGTAACAGACTGCTAGAAACCCATTTCAAAGGTGGTACATTATTTTCTGCTATCCATTTTATAGCCTTTTTTAAAGTATGGCACGCTGCAATATCTTGTTGAAACACAAAATCTTGGCCGGATGTCAAACATTCTTCCATCACTGGTAAAAGCGATTCTTCTAAAATTGCCAAATATTTGTTTGTATCCACATTTCCATCGATAAAATGAATTTTTCCGACTCCTCTTGATGACATACTGCCCCAGACCATAATGGATGCTGGAAATTTCACTTTTCTCTTCAGATCGTCAACATGGAATGTTTCATTTATTTTGCGAATAACTCTACTGCGACTGTCACCAACACAAACTTCGAAACGAGCCTCATCACTCCATTGTATTGCACATCATTGTTGAGGTGTCCATTGTCTATGTTCTGTAGCCCATCTAAGCCGATTTTTCTTTTGCAGTGAAGTTAATAGTGGCTTTTCTTTGGCCTATAAACAAGTTGTGCAACTTTAGGGTTTTTACTTCACTTTTTTTTTATAAGAAAACTTACCTTGCAAGTGCTAAATCCCAGTTTGTGGGCCTCTCTATGAGTTGTGGACCTTGAAATTCTCCTTCCAACAGCGTCACTCCACAGATCAATTATTTGTAAATAATTGGCACGCCTGTTTTTCAAGATTATTCTTCTTAATGCTCTTCGGTCGGCATTTGTGATATTAATTTTTTCCACATATCGTGGCTTAATACTAACTGAACCAGTTACGTTATATCTTCTAACAATATTTCTCACACTGTGCCGCGATAAGTCTAACAAAGTTCCAATTTCTGAGTTTGATTTCCCAGAATTAAAAAATTTGATTATCAGTAACCGAATTTTCTCACTAATAACCTTTCCTCTATCCATTTTGAATACCTTAACTACCCAAAACTATTTTAAACGTATTCTGACGGCTGTGATTAATAAAAACAATTGTCATGGCTTTTATTTTTCACAGCCACCTATGCGTTATAGACTTATTTTGCATTGAAATGAAAATAGGTTGATATGCTGTAATTGCAACATGTGTTATTTTTAAGCTGCAAATTTGATTAGGGAGTGACAAAGTTGGTGTTGTCTGCTATATATTATCAAAATATTCATTGTAATTATTTTAAACCTATAACACGCTGCTACATTTTTATTATTTGTGTTTGATAAGAAAAAAAATAAGATTTCAATGTTTGGGCCAACTGAAGTGGGAAGGGGCTTGTACAACGTGTACAAGCGCTTTTAAGCCTTGAGATTTGCCTATAAAAGTTGATTTTTGCAACTGGTTACGTGAAAAAGTAGCATTACATCAAAATTGTTTAAATCGAATACTATTCAAAGATGAAGCATGTTTTTCACGAGCAGCAATAATAAATTTCCATAACAACCATGTGTGGTGTGAAGAAAATCCCCAAGCCATAATTGAACATACTACGCAACACGACCTTCCCTTCAATATTTGGATTGGAATCGTTAGTGACCACTTGATTGGCCCTCATTTCCTACCTGGATTAATGGAGGAAAATCCTCTTAGAAACGACGTCGCATGTGGTACACGCATGACGGTGCTCCGCCACACTTCAGTGTCGTTGCGCGAGAATATCCAGATAATAGTTATCCAAATCGATGGATTGGAAGAGGCGGACCACAACCTTGACCCCCTAGATCGCCTGACATGAATCCTATCGATTTCTTTTTATGGGGACATTTGAAATCATTAGTATGCAAGACTTCTGTTTAGAGCGTGGATGACTTGAAGGTCAGAATTATCGAGTATTTGAACATTTATTGTGGAAAAAAGCTATTCGATATTTTCTATTGTTGTCGTTCTATTCGAATGTTACCTCCTAAATACACTTTTTTTCCAAAAATACAGGATAATACCATTTTTATCCACGTTTATATTGAGCCTCAGCAACTTGTAAAACATGCAAAATTTATCAACTGTTCAATTGATACGTTTCATTATTCATAGAAGTATTACATTACTCGTATTTCTTTTGTGACAGTGCTCTAGCTCGAAAAGAAAGCGGTTACGGACCCATGTTCATATGAACGTTTAGTCTTCAAATTGACCAAGGATTCGATGGTTGAGGTTTGTCTTAATACTTTATTAACACGCTGTATAAGGATTCACGATATATCGGACTTCAGTGAACATACCTAGTTACGGTTCAATTCCGCCTTCATTTTGAAATTAAAAAGTCTTAAATGAAGGCACGGCAAGACAACCTAATCGACTCCATTTTGTGTATTGGGTCATTCTGCGCTCCTGCAGCGCTGTGCAGAGTAACTCCAAGATCCAAGCCTGACATAGAAAACAGTTTAACTACTGCAATGGCCGGCTCGAAACTCCGTGCGGGTTGCTTGGGATTTGAGGCACGGATGCTCAGGAGACGGCAAAGTTTTTGTGACTGACGGAGACAATTCGGAGAGAATTAGGGGCGGTGTTAGCCTAGGGATAACGTCCAGGATGACTATGTCCGCGGTTTAGGAATAATCACAGACGAGGATAATAATGCATATGACAGAAGTTGGCTGTTGAAACTGGTAAATAAACAACTCAATCCAAACCGAGTAAACTGACTTGGGGAAGATATTTTGTGCGATTATATGGCACTAGAAGTTTTTTTTGTCAAATATTATGATGGAAAAATCAACTTTGACGTTATAAAATCTCTAGCGTAGCCTGAATAAATCTGTGGCGTGCCGCATTAAGTTTGCCGCGCGTTCAGATCTTACAATAAGTGACACCTATTGTACTTTGAAAATCAAGCTGCTAAGCCACAAATGATCCTTCATCCATCATTTATTATGATTGACTGTTCGACCATCTATTACTATAATATAAACTCTTTGTAATTAAAAATTATTTTCTACTTGTTAGTTATAGCTGGGGGTGTTTATTTAGTTTTTCAAACTACTATTTTTTATTATTAGCTGTTATTCATTAGTTAGTCACTACCGATTGAATAAAAAATCTGAGCATCGTCGGCAAAAAATTGGATGCTGCGTGATTTTACCTGTACTTCTAAATCTGAGATATATACAGGGTGGCGCGTCGAAAACGAAACAGACGCATTTACTGGTAGCTCAGTTTTTTTTTGCCAAACTAGTGTCATGCTCGAAAACAAAATCGGCGGGTCTGAGCATTTTTCCAAGAGAAAAACTGAGCTGCCAGTAAATGCGTCTGTTTAATGAAAATAACAGAGGTCCTAACCAAGATGCCTGTGGTTCACCAGTATAATTTTTTTGAGCGGTAGAGTGCTGTCGATTTAGACGAACTTTTTGAAACCTATTTTCAAGGTAGATTTGAATACCCGAAAGACGGTTTCCAGAAAATCCGTAATATCTACATTTAGATACGAGAAGTGAATGCTCAGTAGTGATAAATCCTTCAATGGCATTAAATCTAAGTTATTGTTTGTACTTTTGGAAGCTTAT